GCCTTACTAGTAGTAACAAGAAGCTAGTAGAAACAAGTGCCTTACTACTAGGAGATATTGTATGATATTGTATGTGAGCAGGTGCAGAGTCGAGAGCTGACTCCGGTTTTGGGCTGTCCTTGTTCATCTGGAGAAGCTGCTCAGAGTGCATGTCTCGCCTTGAAAAGGCTTCTTTGCATCTCTCGGTCATCTGTGACATCCAGAGTCTACCAACCAGCTGCAATCTCTCATTCATGCTGCTGCTACTAGTAGCGTCCTTGCTCCTAATGCCAAGGTACTCTTTTTGCAGGTCATTTTCACCAGTGTCATGCACTTGACGTTTTGCTTCTTTGTGCTCGTACTCCAGGTTCTGCACCTGCATGGCATCGAAGAGTCGACCACTGTTCAGACAAACGCTCCCAAAAGATTGAGCTTGAACAATTAAACGACTCTTTGGCTTGGCTGGCTTGCCTTCTGCTCATGAACCTTGATATGAACCCGGAAGTCCCGTTCCAGGATCTCCATTTTGCCTCAGGCTCCGAGTGCCAAGCCACCGCCATTGGGCGGGATCGCTATTGGAGGCCATTGCTAATTGGTTGGGATTCCCTACTAGCAAGAATGCTCCTAGGAGCCCCGAACGCAGCTTCTTGGGTCCAGACGGTCCATGTTCAGAAGTTCGGCCTCGATTTGCTTCACTTCCGATTTGGTGATCTCATAGAACCTGGAATCGTCGTTGTTCGTTTTTCGTCGTCTAGCTGAGTCAAAGTACGGTTTTACAATTTTGGTGGCATGGGCGGCAGTCATTGCTGTTTCACCTGGCCTGTTGACCATGTCCTCGGGCGCAAGGAGAGCTGCAAGACAGTTGCTATCGGAAAAGTTCTGACATGGTCATTGCTATATCTGGCGAGTAGCTTTCTCCAGCTGCATATAATTTCTGTCTTTCGCAGCCTGGAATGAGGCTCGAGCTAAACCAGAAACGTACATCCCAACATGTATCTCATGTATCAGTCATAGTCAAGAGGCAAAACAAATGAAATGCACAACTTCATTACAGAAGAGCACACATGACTGGCAGTTCTCATTGCCACGCCTTGCTCAGCCGATATTGCAGGGCATCGATGCGATCTCGGACATTGGGGATTGTTAGCTCCTGGAATGTAAGACCTAGATCTGAGGGAAAGAAATATAGAAAGAAAGGAATGAAAGAAACAAGTAACAGGAATGTCTTTTCAAGTAACAAGAAACAAAGGAAAGAAAGAAAAAGGAAAACGGTTTGGTCCTTCAGGTCCGGATCAATCTCCACCTCGGGCTCAGCCGCCGCATTCTTCTTCTTTCCTTTCTTTCCCATGGCCTGATCAAAAGCAACATCCTCCCGTCTATCTTCACGTCCTTCAGCAGTCCCTAGTCGGATCTGCATTGTCCAAGTCGGCCTCCACCCTAGTAGCAATGGCCTCCAACCTAATAGCTTCTTGGTACTAATAGCTTCTTGCTCCTAGTAGCGATGCCCTTTGCTACTAGTAGCTTCTTGTTACTAATGGCAATGGCCCCCAACCTAATAGCGGTGCAAAAAAACAAGGGTTCCTCTGGCCCACCTCGAGATGCCAAACACACGGCCCCTCTTGAGCCGAACGGAATGCTGCGGTTCTTCGTGCGATTGCAAAGAGTCTCTTCTCCATCTCTCCTTTAGTTCATCCCTTAAGTGTGAAACCTAAGAATCACTAAGCTCTGCCATACTGAGGAGAACACCCAACCAACAATTGCTGCAAAAAGCACTGCAGCTGTGATGTAGACCGGGTAGAATCTGGCGTGAAGAAACCGTGGCTGTGTCGTCTCTTCAACTCTTCAAGATTCGACATGTCGACCTGCAAAAAAAAAGCACATGTCGACACGTGAAGACACACATCTCAAGGGGGAGTCACCAACTGATTTCTGCCAAGGTGCCCTTCCGCGGCACCTGAAGAACATCCGGAAAATTGGCAGTCTGGCTGAATGCTGAACAGCTGCTGAACATGCTGCGAAATCTGCAGATCACGTGCCGCTGTCGTCGATCGATCTCCCGTCTTTTCTAGCTTCGTTTCAACGACCTGCCTCGTTTCCAGCTCTTATGGGCCCATGGTATTCGGCTCAAGCACCTCGAGTTGTGTTCAGGTCTTAAGAACCGCAGTGTAAACATCCTGTTGCGCGGTTTGCGGCGTGTTCCTCGCTGTTTCGGCTATCAAAGCACTGTGTCAAAAGGCCAAGTGCTTCTTTGTGCATTGGCCTAATAGCGAAACTATTCCACCAACTCGAAGTCTTCCTGAACATGTTCCAAACTTGAAATTCTTGCAACAATATCATCTGAAGACCGACCAAACAAACACCAAACCCCACTTCAAACTTCCACCAAATGTGCATCGAGTTGGCTGAGCAGCACTTTGTCCGCTCAACACATTCGATCGCCAGAGTCAGAATCTGTCTCAAGAGCTGATGTTTTTTCATCCACTTCCTTGTCTGCTTGAGAAGAAAAAGGGTCTGAGTCTGAGGCCATCGCTACTAGGGTGGAGGCCATCGCTCTTAGATGGGCTCTATACAGGCTTTTAGAAAAAGGCAATGCTAAACGCAAAATGGAACGCTATAATAGCAACGCTAAAAGCTAGCATGGTTTTGCTTCAGTGTGACTCACTCTGTGAGCTTCGCACTTGAGAGCTCCTTGACCGCTCTTTCTTCATCAGCACGTCCTCAACGTTGCACAAAATAAGTTGCTGAATATGTTTATTGGCTCTTTCTGTTGTTTATGCTCTTTTTCTTTACACCTTTAGACCTTTCCGTCTTTCCTTTTCGTATTTCTTTCTGTTCGTCCTTTTGCTCCCGAATGATCCCGAATGCATAGCGAAGGGTTCTCGTTTAACTCTGGGGGTCTGGGGGTACAGCCTTGTTCGCGACCCGTTGTTTCTGCGTCCGCAAGCGTGTGAGCGGGCGTTGTTTGGAGGGGCTGGAATCGCGAAACTGCTTGGCAGGGCTGCGTGATGTGTGTGTGCTCCGATGGGTGTTTCCGCTTGACTTTTGGAGGAAGTCTCGTACGAAACGCTCGTTTAGCAGACTTTGACATGTGAGTTTGAGGAAGTCTCGTACGAAACGCTCGTTTTGGAGACTTGACGCGTGACTTTAGGAGGAAGTCTCGTACGAAACGCTCGCATGACTGCTTCTATAGTGTGTGGGCAGACCGTGTGGCGACACGACGTTCGTGACGTCGCAGCGCCATTGGGACTTGCGCAGCCTTGGTGGAAAGCGCGTTTGCGTGGCGCCGTGCCACTGGGGAGCACGAAACAGGCTGGCGTAAACGCGGCGTGTCGCTGGTGAGCGGGATGATTTGTGGTATCGTGCGACATGTTTGCTTCCAGTGTCTGGGCAGACCGTGTGGCCACGCGACGTTCGTGATGTCGCAGCGCCATTGGGATTTGCGCGGCCTTGGTGGAAAGTACGTTTGCGTGGCGCCGTGCCACTGGGGGCCATCGGTAGTAGGTTGGGGGCCATCGGTAGTAGGTTGGGCCATCGGTAGTAGGTTGGGGGCCATCGGGGGCCATCGGTAGTAGGTTGGGGGCCACCGGTAGTAGGTTGGGGGCCATCGGTGCAGGTTGGGGGCCATCGGTAGCAGGTTGGGGGCCACTGGTAGTAGGTTGGGGGCCACCGGTAGTAGGTTGGGGGCCATCGGTAGTAGGTTGGGGGCCACCGGTGGTAGGTTGGCGGCCATCGGTAGTAGGTTGGGGGGCCATCGGTAGTAGGTTGGGGGTCATCGGTAGTAGGTTGGGGGCCATCGGTAGTAGGTTGGGGCCATCGGTAGTAGGTTGGGGGGCATCGGTAAACGCGGCGTGTCGCTGGTGAGCAGGATGGTATACAAAAGAGTGACCCGCAAGAGCTTCCTACAAGAGTGTCCCAGATAGAGTGTCCCACAAGACTGTCCCACAAGAGTGTCCTACAAGAGTGTCCCACAAGAGTGTCCTGTAAGAGTGTCCCACAAGAGTGTCCCACAAGAGTATCCGACAAGAGTTTCCTACAAGAGTGTCCCACAAGGAGTGTCCTACAAGAGGGTCGTGTAAGAGTGACCCACAAGAGTGTCCTTCAAGAGTGTCCCACGAGAGTGTCCCACGAGAGTGTCCTACAAGAGTGTCCCACAAGAGTGTCCCACAAGAGCGTCCTACAA